GTTCTTTACTACACAAGATTATAAAGGACATCAACAAAAAAGCTTCGGCGCAAAGGCATGCTCTGTTTTATTTAACTGAAACAAGGTATATTTAGAAGCAAAATATTCCAAGGATTGTTGGTATTGCTGCACAAATATCAACAGCTCAGTTGTTTAATGTATAATGCACATGTATGCAGTTATTTGTAAAGTTTTAAAATGAAACAGGGTAAAAATGTACAGACCGGTATAAGTTTCCTCAAATTCAGGCCCCAAGACCATAAACTGAGAATAGACTTAAGTCAAAATTTAGATTTTTAATATCTAGAGTTTTATTTAATTTTTTCGCTTAAAAAATTTGCAATTTTATATAACATTTAAACCCAAATATATGATGAAAATTTTGTTTCATTATCAAGATTATTTCAAAAGTTATATTGGTTTGAAATTTTGACTTAAGTCTGTTCTCAGTTTATGGTCTTGGGGCCAGATCAAATGAGAAAATGTCTAGGATTTGTGCAGTAGTTTTATTAATCTATAGAATATTCTTCCTAGCATTAAACAATTTTTATGTAAAATTAAATAGGGTAATCCCTTACGCCGAAGCTTTTTCGTTGATGTGTTTAATTCCCTCCAGTGGGTAAGAATTATGACGTCATTATATGACGTCATAATGTGTACTGCCTATAACATATCGTGGGTACTAAGTATGTATAAGAAAATAATTTAATTTTAATTGTAACACGTCATTTGATTGGATAAAAGATTTAGTTTATATCGTATAACATAAGTTGCCTACGTCACAATGAGTTACGTCAAAAAAACGCATTACTCCGCTTGACGTTACTTTTAAAATATGCTCAATTTGAAGCCGTTTTTGGAGGAAAATTGTCTTATTGTCTACACTTAAATTAATTATAAGGAATGAAGCTTATTTTAACCTATGTTATGCTTCGCGGTTTATAAAGCGTAATTAAACTGCCGCAAGTTATGTTATATCGTATAACATAGGTTAAAATAAGCTTCATTCCTTAAATAAATCAAAACTTTCTCTGAATAATAAATGTACTTATTTTGCGTTTTTATTAGCTCATTTGCATAGAAACGCCTATGCCTTGCCTTAACTCACATGCGAAACACCGCAATAACATAGCAACTAATTAAGTGCATTGTGAACTTTGAAGGCTGAATTCATTTTTTTTTTTTTTTTTTTTTTTTTTTTGATTTTTTTTTTCTGAATATTGATAAATTTCATCACGAGGTAACGAAAGTGTTACATTTGTTTCTTAATTTCTCTGTAATATCTATGTGCAATCATTAACATCTATATGAAATGTGGTCATGAAGCAGACATCACGTGAAAGGCTTCCTACTTTTATGCCATATTTGAGTTATTTTTTTTTGTTTTAATTTTTCTCATAGGGACATGTATATAAGAAAAATGAGCTGTTTCAAGCAATTTAAACTGCCTTCAAGATTAATAGTATTTCCGTTTTTTTAAACGGGTTGACCTTCTTTGCAGTTTGCATCCACTTAATTCTATCAAATGAAAGAACATCTTTATTCAGTATGTAAATAGCGGAATGTCAAAATTTCTGGTAATCATATAGAAAAATTTTCATATTCTATTATGAATATATGTGAAAGATCAATTTGTTTTTAACCCAAATATTGTGTACAATCTTTGCATCAAATTATTGTCTTCAAGTCTATATTTAATTAGAGCATTTCCATAATCTTCGTAAAACATTTTTACATTCCATTCTGAATTTTTCACTGAGAGAGCTGTATACGAGTGAGTTTGCAGATATGCTCAAAAAATAGAATCGCGCAAAGAACTGGAAAACTGCTTTCTCTTTGAAGGAGAGGTTGGTGTAATAATTAGGCTGCACAGTGTCAATGAAGAGTAATGCATAAAGTGGAGAAAAAGTCAAAGTGAACATCACTGTGATTAAAAAGAGCATGAAGGTAAATTTTTGGGCACGCACATGTTGATTTTTCTCATTTTGTGAGGAAAAAATATTTCTTGATAGTGTTGTGGTACAGTTTTCGTAAGTATCACTGTTATCATAGGCGGTCTTGATAGTCACTTTAATAAACGTGTTAGTTTCCTCTTGAGGGCATTCATTGAGCTCCAAAACTGAAGGTCTTCTCACAGATTTTATGGGTTCATTCTGAACCTTGCTCTCGATTGAAGGTTCGTCTTGATCCTTCTCGGTTTGTTTCTTCCAAGATGCCTTACAAACGTTAACAAATCTTTTCCGAGTATTTAAAACAATGAGACTATATATAATGATAAGGATACAAGTAATTAAGATTGGACTAAAAGATATGATGATCAAAAAGATCTTTCTAAAGACGGAATCTTTCAATTTATCTATGATACACATATGACCCAATACAAACGTTTGTGGAGCGATCGGTACGGCTTTAGTCTGTATTCCGTAGAAAACTAATACTGGACCTGCAAGTACCATGGCCATGCTTATTCCAAAAAGAACAATTATTTTGGCATTCTTTGTAGACAACTGTTTTCGTAGAGGTCGACAAACTCTAAAGTATCGGTCCACTGCAATGCTGATTAGCGTAAAGGCAGAGGAAAAAAACAAGGTAAAAGTGCAAAATTTGGACACCTTGCATAAGACTTCATTTGTAGTCTGAAACCAATTCCGCATAAAGTAGAGTTCAGACGGAATTGTGATCAGCCCGTTAATCAAATCCAAAAGAGCCAGAGCTAAAATGAAAGCTCTGTAGGTTGATTTCTTCCATTTAGAGAAGTAAACGTAGAGAGCAAAAGTATTTCCTAAATATCCAAAGACAAGCATCATAATTGAGAAGATAAAACTAGGTAGAAAGATTTTTTCAAAACCAGCATCATTAATTTTTGTGACTAGGTTCCCTTCCTTCAGTACTGTTACGGAGTTTCTTTCAGCGCTTTGCGTGAAATAGCTCAAAACGCTTGTCACGTTCCTTAACTCCATTCTTCTCTAGGAAATGTTTCTTTTACCTTAAATTCCTTGTTTTGAAATTCTCTCAAAAATTTCAGACATTTTTACTTCCCAGCAGTTTTTACTTTGAGAAATTAGAGTTGTGTAAAGTGCTTGAGGGACTTTTTGAGGAAATGTTGTCATTTTATATCCTTGATTATTATACAATCAGATCCTCTTCCTTCATTTTAAAAGTCGTAATATCCTGTAATCGAAAGAAAGGGATTGTTGATATCATACTATTATTTCAGAAAAAACAAAAAAAAAAAAAAATTGTCAAGTTTATACGCGTTTATGAAAAGTTTGTTTAAGGTTTTGTCAAAGGTCAAGATGTCTAAAAATTTATTTTTACAATAGCTCCAAAACTATGTGAGGTATAAAGTTAAAACTTTTACAGTTTATAAATATATTATTGATTAACAGATAGAAAGTATCACTTGAAAACAAATATTTTTAAAAAAATATTTTTAGAGGAAAAAATTGCAAAAAATTTGCACATTTAAAAAAAAATGCACCTGCTTAAATCTGTACTTTTAGTGAAAACCATCATTGCAGAAATAATATATGTTTATCAATGAAGGGCAAGTTAGACGTGAATGGTCTCTTAAAGGCTGTTATTGAAAGCATGACATGTATAAAGACAAGACCCCTATAAAATCCGCCATTTCCAATGTACTTTCGGTTTCAAATCTTAACATTTGGACAAAATAAACAGGGAAAACAACTTTCCAGAGGTCATCGAAGTCCAACTTGCCCTTCATTGATAAATATATATTATTTCTGCAATGATGGTTTTCACTAGAAGTACAGAATTAAGAAGGTGCATTTTAAAAAAAAATATATGCATTTTTTAAAAAGAATTTTTCTCGATAAATACTTTTTTAAAGTATTTGTTATCAAATGATACTTTCTATCTGTTACTGTAATCAATGATTTATTTATAAACTATAAAAGTTTTAACTTTATAAACCACATAGTTTTGGAGCTATTGTAAAAATAAATTTTTGGACAAGTTGACCTTTGACAAAACCTTAAAAAAAGATCTTTCTTTTGGGATATCTTACTTCAACTTTGAGGTACCTTGAGGGGAGAAGGGGATAAAATATCTATAAGAATAATAGTTTCTTAAGATATATACAGTTAATAAAAATCTTATTAACATCTTGTACTGGAATGAAAGGAAATTGTTAATATCATACTACTTTTTCAGAACCCCCCCCCCCCCCCCCCAAAAAAAAAATGTCAAGTTTATTTGCGCTTATGAAATTTTTGTTAAATAAAGTTCTTTCTTTTCGAGATATCTTACTTAAGTTGTGGGGTACCTTGAGGGGGGGTGGGGATTAAATATCTGTAAAGATAATACTTTCTTATGATATATACAGTAAATAAAGATCTTAACAGGATTTTTTACTTGATTCAATCAACAGTGACAGGTAGAGGATCGTTAAATAAAATGCTTACCAGTTCTAGCTTTTACATTATAATTTGCTCAGTTGTGTGAATTTTTCAAATGCTGTGAAATCTTTATATATACATTGAATTGTCTTCGGATTTTTCCGTTTTCCGATTATGAAAAGGAGCACACAGCGGGTGTGTCCGATCCCTCCTGTGATGTTTTCAGACATCAGTGATTGCTCTGCTCCGGATTTGTATTATTTCAATGGATTTTGACCTTGATAACTGTTCGTTATCTTCATAATTTATAGTGCAAACGCATACTTCTTTGGAAATGTTCTTCTATGCTTCTGGTTTGAAAGCAAAGCTACTTAGTGCATACTGTAGTTTGGATGAGCAAGTGTGTTTCTTCCAAAATCGAGTTTCATGGCTCCTGGGTCGGGTTCTTGTGTTTTGGTGGTATGGCTCTTTTGATTACAAAGAAAAAATGCATATTAATAATTCTTTTAAAAAGTTTTTTTCTTCTGGGTATTTAGCAGATGATCAAAGTGCACAGTTATAATAGGCAAAGGTGCTTCTTCCAATACTGTGAAAATACGTACACTTCCAACAAACTATATAAAAAAAAAGACACACAACTAATGATCACAAAAGCTTTATTAGCTATAATTTTCCAAAAATGTGTCCTGTTCTTACAGTGTAAAGTTTCTATATTGTACTTTGTGAAAGACAAAACCTCCACGGTAGTCGATTTAATCATTAGAGCTTGTTACATGTCAGATAATAAATATTTTTGGGGGAAAAAAACAATTATATAGAGTACTCCAAAGTTGATGGATTTCATTTCGAACATAAAAACACTGTCTATGCGCAGAGAAGTATGATTTACAAAAAGCTGTATATGTATTAAGAAGACAATAAGAAAATGACAAATTGTAACTAATTAAATAATCCCATATGTCCAAAAATGCGAAATTCGTAATAGATTAGTTCATTATTTATTTGAAATACTGATATCTTTCATTATCTTAAAAACTTGGTTACATGCAATCAGTGAAATAATTTTACTTAAAATACTGATGTGTTTTGTGGATTGGACTACTTCATTTTCTTTGTGAAAAGGTATATAATGTGTATAATCGCTAAATAAAAAAAAACAATAGCATATGTTTCACAACAATTCTGAACACAGTTATTTTAAAGAACCTTCATTTGGCCGCTTTGCATGGCATAAACCTTAACATATATGCAGGGGTATTTATAATCAATAGAGGAATGTTTCTGTTTCAAAGATTACAGATTCAGAGTCATGTTAACAAAAAGAGTGATATGTATTGTAAAAGTGCACATACTATTTCTAGTTGGAATGGCTAGTTTCTTTAAATCAAATTAACAGACACCATATCAGACATTCAATTTGTGAATTTTGAGAAAATAAGATTTAAAAAAAAAACATACAATGTCATCGAACAATCATCCACAATCCACAATGGTTTGAATATACATGACTGTATGCATTATTTTTAAAATACTTTAAGCTTGGAATTGTGAAAAAAAAAATCATTTTTATGGTATCTGATGAGTAAACAAAAGAATTTTTTTTCTACTGTGTAGTACACAGGCACCTGATGCTACTTATTTTTCTTTTAATAAAATGTAGAGTGAGATGACAATGAAGATAGCAGTGGGTGAGTGATGCTTTAAGGGGGTCAAAGGTTTTATTCATTAAAAAATATACAAGTCAAATGTTAATTTCATTCAAGAGAGATATTGTTTGGACACTCTTGTTTTACTTTTTATGTTAATTACTTTAAATGATACAGATACTTTGCTACTTTTACAAAATCATTGAAATTATCTATTCAATCCCACCCTCAACAACACCACCCCCTGATCAATCATTTCTAGATTTCAAATTCATTTTAATTCTTAAGGTTTGTCACTAGATTAAATAAAAATATAAGTATATATATCAAGCGACTATTCATTATTTTGGTAAATTTGTTACTCATTTATAATTGGCACTTATTTATAAATTAAAATTTTGAGCAAGTTTACAGTAACTTGGTTCCATTTTTGACAAACATACCGAGGCAGAAATATTTTCAAGTCATATGCTAAAGCATTGCACACTATGAGCACCAGTGATGTATTTGGAATACGATCTAAATAAACTTTTAAGTGATTTCATAAAATACAAAACACATGTATCTACAAGTACTGTCAACATTCCTACTCAATATACACTAATAAAGAAAACAACATTATGAATCGAAATTAGAAATACGTGTATCAATTATATTGGTTAGGTATTCCAATCATTAAATTATGGCCAATTACTTCGTAAAAGAGAAATTCTTTACAAATCGTTGTTTGTCTTTAATTCACGTGGCATGCCCCTATAACCAAGTACCAGGTTTAATATAAAAGTTTGATCACAGCATTTTAAAATTATTCAGAACTAATGAATGCAGCATCATACTGTTCATAAGGATATGAGTGTAAATGATAAATTAGTTCTAAAAAATGCCCTAAACTCTGTACTAGTTTGTATAAACAATGCCTCACCCAAAGCTACATGGGATGAAGACAAGAAAAAACTTTCTCTTAGTTTGATAAAAAATACTTGTATATTAGAGGTATACATAAAAGCATTTATGAAAAGGCCAATACATTTTTATCATAGTAAACAAGATAAAATTTGTGGATTTTTACTATTTCCTTTGGTTTGGAAAAAAATTTATACACATACATAATGTAACTTTTAAAAAAAATAATGATTCTAAAACTAAGCAAAGATATGGCATAGTGGTCATAATTATGTAAATTAAGCTAAATATAAAAAAATCAGATCTGAGACAGGTATATGATTGAGCTTATTGTATGTACTCAATACAAGTGCACAATATCAAAACCAACAAACACTGCAATAACATACAGGTATCAACTGAAAAAGTGCATTGTGAACTTTGACTGCTTAATTCATTTTTAGCACTGACTTATGAATATACATGTACACATATATATTGCAATAAATATTACTTGACACATTACAAAACATATTATTTACTAGCATACTTTGGCAAAAAATTCCTCAAAAATAAAACTGTGTGTTTGTTTACAATACAAGCAAAGCAAAAGTAATGACAAAAAAAAATTCATTTAGTTTTAAAATGACTTGGAGATTTAGTCTTAATATATAGGTCAAACATTTACATACAGACATTGCAATCATCACAACAATCAGAACTGGAATCATGTTATAAGCTGGAATTCCTTTGGATTTTTGGATTCTTGGGGAGGATCTCAGTTATTTGTGTCCATCATTCTTTGGAAGGGATTGACTACATAAAGGTCAAGGATAATTCTTTGAATTTTTATTTAAAATAAATACCATTATTTTTTAGTTTTGATTTTCACTGCAAGTCCAAAATATGTAAGTTATTTGATGGAATATGTTTTTTGAAACAAGTTTTCATGTATTTAGTAGTCTACAATTAAAATGTACACTAAACCAACAGCTATAATACTACAGTGCTCCACTGCAATACATGATACATCTGTATGGATCTATTTGACAATGGATTCCCACAGAATTCTTCACAATGTGCAAGATATAATCTCTCAGTGTATAAATTGTGACCTGGACACAACTTAAGTATAGCCAAAAGATTCATAAAAAAGGCCATGGTGAACTACTTTTGCATTTCGACACCCCTTTCCCCCAAGATGCATTAACTGACCAAAACCATAGGCCCCACAGTGAACAGGATATGATTCGGATATGATTAAATTAGGTATAGCAATAAAATTCTGTAATTAGGCCATGGTCACCGTGATATACATTAAGTTAAGGTTAAGCACATTCTCCCCATGAGCATCTGAAGAGAAGACAAAATTTGATGGTCACAGTTGGAGAGATATGACTTGGATGCAGAACAGCTTACAGACAAATAGAAGAGAAAACCCTTTTCAAAAGAAGGCCCATATAGAAGTTCTTGACAATACATTGTATTTTTGTAATAGTTAAACAAAGGATACATGGATGAACTTATTGAATGCAGCTGAAAAGAAAAGAATATAAAAGATAAATATGGTATTCATATGAAATAAAGATACGTAATATAAATACACATTTATCATATTTTTGCCTTTTTGCTGATTATGAATATTAAAAGTTTTGAAATTCATTTTTGATATTTGTTTTCCAAACCTTTCATGTGTGGAATACATTTGCAACATTTAAGAGAAAGGGGCAATTACTATATTAAGAAAATAGTGAAGAATATTGGCTGTTTCAAAAAATGTTTAAATGGGTGTCATAATTGCTATTTCTTCATGTCTCAAAATTAACAGTGATAAATGCTCTCATGAAGATTTCATTGACAGAATTGACAGAAATGTTTATGTAGTGTACATGTATTTTAAACTAGTAAACGATTTATCCAATCAAACCTTGTCTACAAGTTTTCTCAGCTTCTCATTGGCTGCTGCTCGCCCCTCATCAGTATCTCGCCTACAAACAGTAAACAGGTGATTAGTAAATTATATATCAATAAAACAATAAACATAGATAGTAAATTACAACATGAATATATAAGGTAGAACAGTCTTTGCCAAATCTTTTTTTCAGCACATGCCTTTTGGGTAGGTGTATCCACTAGTTACACTAGCCTAAAGAAATATTTACATACCCAGAATTTTATTATGTACATGTAATTTTATTCTGTTTTGCCTTTTCATGCAAAGGAAATCCATTTTTTCAAGAGCATCATTTGTCATGCCATTTGTTCTCAACCTAAACACCTTTTCTTTCTCCAATGTGAAAAAATTTCTTGGAACTCATGATAGAATAACCCATCATTAAAATTTTATGATTTATTTTGGATGAATAAATCAAACAAACCTCCATATCTATCCTTGGGTATTATTTAACATTATTGATGTCATTTAATTCCAAATGTTATGTTATTCACGAATGACGATGAAACATCTGATGAATGAATAGATCAATTGAATCAAAAGCAAAAGTAAGTTGTTATAAACACTATAAACAATACAAAGGTTTAAGCCTCCAAGTTTAAATGCCCTGCGGGCTTGTTAGTGTGCAATTTCTACACGCCCGCTTCGAACTTTACCAAGTCCTGGACTTGGGACTTCTGGGATTTGTCGAAGGCTGGTATAATAATAAAGAATACTCAACATGCTTTGTTTCTCTTTCCTCATGTATAGATATTTGTTTATTTCATCAGTCATCCACAAAAAAGACAGGTCATTTTATTTAAGTTCATGAATTAAAAATAAAACATAATTTTATATGTGTACTTCATATCTTTTATCTCTGCTTGATTCCTCTAAAAATCAACTCAAGCCTTTGTAAATATGAACTTTGAAAAAATAAAAAAAAATTATCTTTTCAAAAAATAAAAACCTTCAGTGAAGTTGGCTGTAACAAAGTACACTACAGAGGATCTGGAGGATTTCACAGCCAATAAGACAGTTTACAACATACAATTTAGTATGACAATCATTCATTTATAGTGTACATTATAGCATGGCATGAACTCTGACTGTTTAAGCTTTCAATGATATGACAGGATTAAATCAATAACTACTCAAACCTCTGCATGTCTTGCTGTATGTCCATCTCAAAATGGAGTCGAGCGAGCTGCTCCTGCTGTTCTCGGATTTGGTCCATCTTCTCAAACGTCATGGATCCACCTAAATTGAAACCAGATATGAATTACTTTATTAATGATTTTCTTCCGAGGATAAAAACATGTAATTGTTAATGAGTGCAATTGTTTAATTGTGCAAGAAAGTGGGGGGGGGGGGGGGGGATTCTGTTATTGTATATAAACTAAACTAAACTTTTTCCTAATAAAAATTTTTCAATTTCACTTATACACTGAGCAACATTTATGCATTACATCCAAAAACTTTTATTCTGTTCAACATGTTCAATATTTACAATCTAAAAATAAAAATATTTTACGAACAAAAAAAAACCCACCTCAAATTCAAGCAGTAGTTGTATTATCTATATTTTTTAAAACTTTAATGTTTCTGCCATAGAACTATTCTCACAATGTCTGGGGTCTTGAGTCCACTTGTGGTTGTGGGGCCTCTGACAAACTTCATTTTTTTTCTGGCTTGTTTCTCTCCTTGAGAAGCACCAACAAATTTGGTCTTCATTAGTGACATAAAATGTTAACAGAAAGCATCCTATTGATACTAGAATGCAGGTAGTTTTTCATTAAAAGGCTTCATGTACTTGGTATAGAGATAAAAAAGAAAAACAAATTAAACTTTGTCAGGGGCCCCATGACCTCGAGTTGACTCAGCCCTGATGTTATGACTCAATGTAAAGGAGCCATAGAACCAACCAAAAGCTTGTAGTTTTCCACAATGAAAATCTTCTAGAAGCTGTAGCAATCCATGCTCCATTGTCCGGACATCTGCCACGTCAGTCAGAAATGTGTGCTCCTTACAAGTTCTTCCTGTGCCTCCAGAGGTAGAATCATTCTTACCTTAGAAAAACATAGGTAATCAAAGATTACTAAGCTCACCTCGACGAATGTTATCTATAAGTAAGGTAAATCTCACATCATATTTTTTTCCTAGTTAGTGTACATTCCAAGATTAATATCCATCAATATTAGATTCAGAATCCAAAGTAAGTCTGGAACTGTCCATCTCTAGATACATCATCATTCATGCTAATTTGGTTAAAATATGGCTAAAATTCACTCATGTGGAAAATCTAGGTCAGATCCAGAATCCAAAGCAGGTTAGTTAGTGTACATCCCTAGATGCATCATCCATGCAAGTTTGGTCCAGGTAGGGCTTATATTTACTTGGGAATGGACCTGCTCCAAAAAAACTTTAACCTGATCAATCATCTGGAAAATCTAGGTCAGATCCAGCATCTGAAGCAAATATGGTAGTGTCTATCCCTAGATGTATCATCCATGCAAATTTGGTCCAGGTAGGGCTTTTAGTTACTTGGGAATGGACCTGTTCCAAAAACTTTAACCTGGTCACTCATCTGGAAAATCTAGGTCAGATCCAGCATCCCAAGCAAGTGTGGTAGCGTCCATCCCTAGATGCATTATCCACGAAAGTTTGGTCAAGGTAAGGCTTAAATAATCACTTGGGAATAGACCTGCTCCCAAACCTTTAATCTAGTCACTCATCTGGAAAATTTAGGTCAGATCCAGCATCTGAAGCAAGTATGGTAGAGTCCTTCCTTTGATGCATCATCCATGCAGGTTTGGTCCAGGTAGGGCTTATAATTGGGTATCTGCTCCAAAAATTTTAACCTAGTCACTCATCTGGAAAATCTAGGTCAGATCCAGCATCTGAAGCAAGTGTGGTAGTGTCCATCCCTAGATGCATCATCCATGCAAGTTTGGTCAAGGTAGGGCTAATAGTTTCTTGGGAATGGACCTGCTCCAAAAACTTTAACCTAGTGACCCATCTGGAAAATCTAGGTCAGAACCAGCATCCAAAGCAAGTGTGGTAGTGTCCATCCCTATATGCATCCTCCATGCAAGTTTGATTCAGGTAGGGCTTATAATTACTTGGGAATGGACCTGCTCCAAAAACTTTAACCTGGTCACTCATCTGGAAAATCTAGGTCAGATCCAGCATCCGAAGCAAGTGTGGTAGTGTTCATCCCTAGATGCATCATCCATGCAAGATTGGTCAAGGTAGGGCTAATAGTTACTTGGGAATGGACCTGCTCCAAAAACATTAACCTAGTGGCCCATCTGGAAAATCTAGGTCATATCCAGCATCCAAAGCAAGTGTGGTAGTGTCCATTCCTAAATGCATCCTCCATGCAAGTTTGATCCAGGTAGGGCTTATAGTTATTTGGGAATGGACCTGCTCCAAAAACTTTAACCTGGTCACTCATCTGGAAAATCTAGGTCAGATCCAGCATCCGAAGCAAGTGTGGTAGTGTCCATCCCAATCTGCATCATCCATGCAAGTTTGGTCCAGGTAAGGCTTATAGTTACTTGGGAATGGACCTGCTCCAAAAACTTTACCTGGTCACTCATCTGGAAAATCTAGGTCATATCCAGCATCCAAAGCAAGTGTGGTAGTGTCCATCCCTAGATGCATCATCCATGCAAGTTTGGTCCAGGTAGGGCTTATAGTTACTTGGGAATTGACCTGCTCCAAAAACTTTAACCTGGTCACTCATCTGGAAAATCTAGGTCAGATCCAGCATCTGAAGCAAGTGTTGTAGTGTCCATCCCTAGATGCATCAACCATGCAAGTTTGGTCCAGGTAGGGCTTATAATTCCTTGGGAATGGACCTGCTCCAAAAACTTTAACCTGGTCAATCATCTGGAAAATCTAGGTCAGATCCAGCATCCGAAGCAAGTGTGGTAGTGTCCATCCCTAGATGCATCATCCATGCAAGTTTGGTCCAGGTAAGGCTTATAGTTACTTGGGAATGGACCTGCTCCAAAAACTTTAACCTGGTCACTCATCTGGAAAATCTAGGTCAGATCCAGCATCCGAAGCAAGTGTGGTAGTGTCCATCCCTAGATGCATCATCCATGCAAGTTTGGTCCAGGTAGGGCTTATAGTTACTTGGGAATTGACCTGCTCCAAAAACTTTAACCTGGTCACTCATCTGGAAAATCTAGGTCAGATCCAGCATCCGAAGCAAGTGTTGTAGTGTCCATCCCTAGATGCATCATCCATGCAAGTTTGGTCCAGGTAGGGCTTATAATTCCTTGGGAATGGACCTGCTCCAAAAACTTTAACCTGGTCAATCATCTGGAAAATCTAGGTCATATCCAGCATCCGAAGCAAGTGTGGTAGTGTCCATCCCTAGATGCATCATCCATGCAAGTTTGGTCAAGGTAGGGCTTATAGTTACTTGGGAATGGGACTTGCTCCTAAAACTTTAACCGGGACGCCGACGCCGACGCCAACGCCGGGGGTATAGCATAAGCTCATCTCGACTTCGTCGAGGTGAGCTAAAAATGAGACAGTCTGTCAAGTGTGCTGCAGCACTGCTGTACTTGATTTCCTTAATTATTATTTTGTGAGTTACAAATGTAAATATTTCCTTTTTTCACAAACTAAATGTCTTTCTTTATTCAAAGCAATACTTTAGATTAATTTACTTTATGTAAAATATAATTATCAGTGGCGGATTCAGGGGGGATCAGGGTTCGGGAAACCCCCCCACCCCACAATGCCCAATCAAAAAAAAACTTTAGAAGTTTTATTTTAACAATATCTTTCATAAGTGAGACTCTATCCAAGTCCTTTGTTTTACACAAAGAGGTGAAATATACAGCCACATGAGGAATCCCTTTCCGCTTGAGCACACACAATACACAAGTAATCAACAGTACAGATATCATGATAATCCGTGCAGCTAGTGATGGCACAAGGTCATACACTAACAACCGAAACTGCACATACATGTAGTTATTAAGGTATTGTTTTGGTATTGCTAAAATAATATTCTTTCATGAATTTTCTTTCTTCGATAATTGAATGTTACTTTATTGATCCACTTGAATAAACTGTGATTATTATTATTATTTAGAAAAAAAAAAATTAATACAATCAGGGATGTATATACATGTACTATAATATAAACATCCCTGATACAATAACTTTATGACATAACTATACTGGGGAAGTAGACCCTTCGAGACTTTTTTTTTTCAAACATTGGGCTAGTAAGCATGGTAAGTGGGTAAAAAAAAAAATTGAATTAAAGAGTGCATTTATGTTAGAAATTATAATTACCCCCCCCCCCCCCCCCATGAATAAGCAAGAATTCCAATGTTTTCCCAAAATAATTTATATTTTTTCTTCAATATGAAATATCAGTATTTGTTTAGATTGCAAATTATATAAACAGTATAGTCAAGTAGTTGAAAAAAGTAATTAGGGTTTATACACAGAATCCAAATTTTCTAAGTGTGGGAAAATGCATCAGTTGTATTTTGGAAGTCAGAGCTTCACATGCGACACATTGGATGTGCATTTTAAAATACAGAATTGGATATTATATATAAAATGGCGATATTACTAACTTTATAATATTTTACTTAAGAAATAAGGTATCATTTTTAAACATCTATCAGGATATAAATACGGGTTGGTACGAGATCAAATTTACCATAAAGCCCAATATAAATACGGGTTGGTCACGAGATCAAATTCCATAAAGCCCGAAGGGCTTTATGGTAAATTTGATCTCGTACCAACCCATATTTATATCCCGATAGATGTTTAAAAATGATACCTTATTACTTATATTTATATTTGTGACTTATTCATATCCTTTATTAGCCTGATTATAACCTTTAATGCGTGAATTGTTTTATTTTTTCAAACTCAACGGCACAAGTTTGATCTATTGATTGCGCGTCGACCCTTTATGACGTCACTGAGAAATTATGTCGAACGTTTATGATGCGAGGAACCCGTGTTTATACGGATATAGATATGCGTTGCTTTTAATAGTGTTATGTAAAAGAAAACATTTGCAAATGTAAATATATTGATTTATTATTTTTTTTTAGAAGTCTCATTTTTCATATTTACAAGGAAGTTAAAAATAAATCAAAAAACTTTAATTTTTTGTTCAAATTCTTGAAAATTTGGGTAGGTCTTGAAAAGCAAGTGGCAAAAAACTTATTCATTCAATCTAAAATGCCAGTAAATGCACCATTTGGAGCCATTTTTAAAGAAATTTTCCCGAATCCCCACCATGCCCTCTCCCTTCGGCCCCACAGGCCTCAAAACCTCCCCACAAGAACTTCTGGATCTGCCACTGATTATGACTGTTTAATTTCTGTTTGTATTATTGCAATAATATTTAATGCAATGTGACATATTTTTCTATACAATTATAAATTTTACAAGAACCTGCTTTCCTGGGCTTCTTTTCTGGAGACCTAAATGAGGAAGGATATATGTCCTCTTTGATGACACTCGCTGTTGCTTCCATTACTTTTCTCGAAGATTTATTCCATTCTCAACAAAGCCAGAGATTCAAATACACTGAAATAAATTAAACAATCATTGTGAGATTGAATCAAATAAGATTCATTCATAAAAACGTCATCATTATCAATTTTCAATTTTTCATTCAATCTCTCAATTAAAATTCGTTCTATGTCCTACCTGGTAAATAAATGATATTCCTACTAGGGGCTCGAGGAAATTCGAAAACGGTGTACGATAGCTAGTTTGTTATCCCGTATTACTGTATTATCAGCGAGAGAATGTTTTTCGTGAGTCTTTGCTCTTTTTATGCTTTAATTTCAAACGTCATACTGGTTAACAAATCATCATATTAACTTCCTTTCTTGCAAGAAATCTTCAAGGCCGATGAATCGGATGATTTTTTTCCACCACTGTCAACAAGAAATTTAAATCGCACCATAAATTTCGATGGAAATCGTTAGGCAAAAGATTTTCCGGATTCGGTTAATGTTCAAATACTCATGCGCATACGCATGCATCTGCAGATTGATAGGCCAAGCAACATCAATTTATTTATTTATGCAATGTAATTTTATTTTGTCATTTCATAACGTATTTATCTCTTTTAATTTGTAGAATTAATTTATACTCCCTAAGTATTAAACATCCATGGATGTTGTTTTTTTCTTTCGTGTATGACACAAGGTTTAGAACTGACATAGGCTATTTCGTAAGTATTTTTATATCCTTATTTTATTTTTTTATTACATATTTTTATTTATTGATTTATTATTTTTTTATTTATTTATTTATTAATTATTATTTTATTTATTTATCTATTTTTTTTTTTATTATTATTTTACACTGTAGAAGATGCTTAAATCTAAGCAAAGTTGCAAAATTTAATGCAATTCTCATTAAATTGAAATATGAAAAGGAATTATTATCCAAATTTGAAACTGAGGAAAATTTCAACACGAATATAAATAAAAACTATGCGCGGTTTTGTATACTTGTGATTATTCCACTTCTACAGTAGGATTGCTTATTTCTATATATAACGATATTCGCCATATACAGACTTTAAACAAGACAGTAAATTCACAAAGTGCGTCATTTTACACATAATATCGAATATTTGCATTTCTCCATACAGTTAAGTCTATCTTTTGTACAATATATATAAATATCCCAAGAAAGCGATTATAAATTATTCAATTCTATATTTTTTCATAATGATCATATTTATCTAAATTGTACAAAAATTCACAGAATAAAAAAAATTCTTGCAGTCAGGGTTCCTTGTAGAACAGACGGGACTCAGCATAACAGCTGGTAGGTTTATAAAATTTTTTTATTCATTATTATTTATTACATTGCTATGGAATGGTGTACACCAAAAATCCGTTTTATGTAGAATTTGTTCATACGAATCTCTAACAAAGAGAGAACGCTTTCATCCAAAAACCACACTGGAGAAACGTCTGAGGCACCTTCTCTCTTTGTAGTCAAGGAAACCATTTCTATCAAAGTCACACGCACCCCTCAGACTAAACAAAAAGTTGTTGGAGGAATACGATCTTGTTTGTCGTATCCTGCGTGGAGAAGATTTCAGATCCTGGTTCGGAACCCTTAAAGAAGAAAATGGAAACATTTCATTAATTTAAATATTTATTCTACAGTGTTTTATTCTAAAATAAGGACTGAGTAATTTTTCTGTTTTTTTTTTAAAATAACATTCCCTTCCATGGTTATGAATTTATCGTTTGTGAATATAAAAAACTTCATGAGTAGTAAATAAATGCAGATCTATCTCTTCAATAATATTACTTTGATATATTGGGAAGTAAAAGTATAACTGCATATTTTCAGATGTCTGATATACCATACAGGAATTCATGTACAGCAGATAGCCCCCCCCCCCTTTTAAAACACCAATTTCGATGCTTACAGATACTTGCATAACTTGAGCTCATCGATGAACTAAGAGCTTTATTATTCATATATGTTAAGTCTACATTTTAGTATAAACTCTTTCCTCATTCCCACACATTGGCATGGTTCTATGTTTCTAGATTAAGCTGTTAATGCCCCTAAACTGACTTTGTATTAACTTAAATATCCTTTTTTGACTATAAGTTCACATCTCTGTTGATTCTCACCAATTATGATTGATATTTTCTATCATCGACCATAAAAATCGTCCTTGCACGTCAGTTGTCGAGACATCGCCTAATGAACTCTTGAATGATCAATTCCGATTTTATAAAATTTTCAGATATTCAAAATCACATTAACATCGATGCTTTATAAACAAACAAAAATTTCCTCAAATTTTGTATTCGCAGAGATACACGAAATATATTGCTTGAAATAACTTTCATTCATTTCATATTCAGAATTCCACTGATGGGAAAATCTTGTTCGTTTTCTTTTCACCGAAAAACCTAATAGATGTATCTATTCATCTCTGTTGAAAATTGCATTTATGTGATACTACGTACAAATATTGCAATTATAACGTCCTGGATAATATATAGTCCATGGTCCTAAATTATATGAAATATTAACTTTCTGTCATATTGATTAGATTATTGATAATTAGCAATATGAATTAGAGAGATAATTCTTCATATGAAGGTCACATTAATTTCTATTGACAGGCAAACTATGACACCGCGTCATCCCGTCTGAGTTGTGCTACATATCTACGGAACTTTCATCTGCCCTCGGGAGAAAATATTATCACTCCATTAGAGTGGATGAGACACACAAATAGGAAAGGTCTTGTTGAAAAGCCAAAATAATTGTGCTTATATGCCACGCAGGTTTTATTTTAACTAAATTGTTGTGAAAGTGTTTTTACAAAGGCATATTAAATAAAAGATACTCAAAATATGTTTTCTTGTTTGGATACATAAATGCGCCTGTATTTATGTATGTTAGGGTCAAAATAGAAAGACAGGTCTTCGAAATCAATCAAGGGACAACTCTGATTAGGTTAAGGAGCTATTCATAAAAGGTCCATAATTTTGTAAGTTTAAAATAAGTTTTTTACTTGTTATTCTTTAAAAAAAAAAAACAGTTTTTTTTTTGTGAAAAATCAAACATTGCGTAATATTTGTGTCGAGAATTAAATTAACTTTTCCAGTCCGTATACACAATATTTGTTTAATTATATGCTACGAACAAGCTGAATAATACAAAGAAAGGAATCGAACAGAAAAACAAAAAAATTTCAAAATTCTGATTTTTACTTCTTTACCATGATGAAAACTTTTAGATGAGTTTTTAATATTTTCCATAAACCTTTGTAAACAAAGAGAGTTCAAACAGAAAAACATATAAGTCAATCTAAAATATTGTAATTTTACAATATTTAAAATGTACATGTACTTACCCATAGCTTTCGTCAATATACATTGCACCCGTACATAAATAACTTGTAAATATACATGTGCAACAAACAAACAGTCCAATACACAGTTTTCCCATTATGATTTTCTTTCCACCAGAATAGAAATTCAGTCTCCCAAATCAGATTTTACAGATTCCAGATTTTGTAAAATCCTCGTTGTGTACAAATTTAGAATCATCCAATAGAATGCTTTGATGACTAATTTTTCCAACATTGACCTAACGATTGTTTACACAATACGGCATAAACATGATTGGACTGTGCGTACATTAAAAAATAATTGCTTTAATTTATGACCTAAGACTAGCCTGACGAAAACGAAGACAACGGTAGATTATGGAACGCCATAGCTTCCTGAAGGTCATTTTCATATTATATGAGGTGGAATAACCTTTATGTGAAGTGGTGAAGTCATTATATATAGTGGTAAAATCATTATATTCAATGAAAACTTTATTATATGCAGTGGTTTTATCATTATATACAGTGATAAAATCATTATATTCATTGAAAACTTTATTATATGCAGTGGTTTTATCATTATATACAGTGATAAAATCATTATTTTCATTGATAACTTTATTATATGCAGTGGTTTTATCATTATATTCAGTGGCAATGTCATTATATGTAGTGGTTAAATAATGTAATGAAGTGATAATATCGATACATTATGTTGTAAAATCATTATATGCAGTGGTTCTTCCATTTTATACATTACTGATATCTTTCTGTGATGTGATGAATTCAATATATACAGAACAAACATAATTTGTGTGATAAAGCAATCATTACATTGTATGAAACCCGCTGCATGTGGAGTGCCAAGTTAATTTCATTCAGTGCGACACCTTTACATGAAGTGAAAAATCTATTATGTGCAGTACTAACATCATTATATTATATAGTAAAATTATTATATATATTCCTTAAATCATGCTTTGCAGTAGTAACATCTTTATAGCGAGCGCAGCGAGCGGCGCGAAGCGCCGCTCGTCACTGCGAGCTCTAACGACAACGCCTGGGCGAAGAGAAAATTCGGACTACTGCACATTCATTCAATAGAATTTTTTTCCGCAGTAATTCTGACCCACAATGCATCGCTTCTTGTTCTCGCTGCTAACTTCATTCACGCGGTAACAACAACTAAAATTTCTCAAAAAATAAACTCACCTTAATTTAATGGATATTGCATGCAGATAGTAGATTAAACGTTTTTTGTTAAAATATGTGCAGTTTTTAAACTTTGTTTATGGAAATGCAGCTAACATACGTCATGTGACGTCACAGTCTAGACGTTCCAAATGTCTCGTGAGGTTTGAAGAGGCGGATCTTAAAATGAAGTGAACAATGCGCTCGCCCCAACGGTCGCACCGTCAACATATTATGAGGTGGTTAATTAATTATATGATGTTGTTAATTTGTTATATGACGTGCTCAAATCTTTATATGCATTAGACGTTTCATGTTATGCAGTGGTAACTTCTTTATCATCATCTAAACTGGTCCTTTTATTTAAAAAAAAATGCGCGGAGTTCCAGTTTAAAGAGTGTTTGAAAATAGGAAACCCGGGCCGTGGCAAATTAAAAGCCGGGACTATTCGAGATTTTTCTAATTTCTGATTCTATTATACAGCTTCCTGATTTTATCATCTGTGCTGAAATTTTAAGACTCATTTTTATAGGTTAATGTGTATTCGCTGTAAAAATTGCATTTAATTTTAAAATACTTAGTAATTTAGATTTTCTTGGTGATTGTTGATTTCCAAGTTCAGTGGTGGATCCAGGAATCTTGAAAAGGGGGGCCCGACAAGTTTTTGGTCGAGGTACATGTAGGTAGCCCACAGCCAAACCAAAAAAACAATTGATTTATTAAATCTTATGTATATTTTGGACACAAGGGGGGGGGGGCGGCGGGCCCCATAGGCCCTCTCTGAATCCGCCCGTGAGGTTGGTAAATCGAGTAGGCAATCAAGTAGACATTTTACGTGTTTTGTTTGTTTGTTTA